CAGGGATGGGGAATCTGTGGCCTTGAGGCCACGTATCATCTTATAGGTCCTCAAGTGTGGCCCTTTGACTGAATCCTTTTAGGGGATTTGTTCTGTGAAGTTTGGACCACATGTAGCCTTGAGGCTACTTTCCTCACCCAGCTACACCCTATACCAAAGTAAGGTCAAAATGGATACGTGATTTAGACATACAAGGTAATACCATAAGCAAATTAGGAGAGCAAGAAATAGTGGAGAAGGAAGAATTTATGACCAAACAAAAGATAGAGAACACTGTGAAATGCAAAATGGATACTTTTGATTACATTAAATTAAAAAGTTTTTGCAGAAGTAAAACCAATGTGACCAAGATTATAAGGAAAGCAGAAATATTGGAAACAATTTTTATAGCCAGTGTTTCTGATAAAGGCTTCATTTCTCAAAATATATAGAGTCAAATTTATAACTGAGTCAAATTTATACGAATACAAGTCATTCCCCAATTGATAAAATGGTCGAAGGATATGAACAGGCAGTTTTCAGATGAAGAAATTAAAGCTATCTATAGTGATATGAAAAAGTGCTCTAAATAACTATTGATTAGAGGAATGTAGATTAAAACAACACTGAGGTACCACATCACACCTATCAGGTTGTCTAATATAACAAAAAATAAAAATGATAGATGTTGGAGGCAATGTGGGAAAACTGTGACAATAACATACTGTTGGTGGAGTTGTGAACTGATCTAACCATTCTGGAGAGCAATTTGGAACTATGCCTAAAGGGCTATAAAATTGTGCATACCCTTTGACCCAGCAAAGAGATCATACAAATGGGAAAAGGACCCACATGTACAAAAATTTATAGCAGCTCTTTCTGTGGTGGCAAAGAATTGGAAATTGAGAGGATGCCTATTCATTGGGGAATGGCTGAACAAGTTGTGGTATATGAATATGATGGAGTGCTATTGTGCTACAAGAAATGATGAGCAGGCAGACTTCAGAGAAATCTAGAAAGACTTACATGAACTGATGTTGAGTGAAGTGAGGAGAACCAGGAGAACAAAAGAAAGAATAGAATAAATGGGAGGGCAGTATAGGAGTAACGGAAATAGAGTTAGTTTTTTCACAATATGTCTACTATGGAAGTGTTTTGCATGACTGCACATGTATAGCCTATATTGAGTTGCTTGCCTTTTCAATGAGGGTGGGTGGGGAGGGAAGAAGGGAGAAAATTTGGAACCCATAGTTTTAAAAACATATGTTTAAAAAAATGTTTTCATATGCAACTGGGAAATAAATACAGGAAATGGGCTACAGAAGTCTATCCTGCCCTACAGGAAAATGGAAGGGGAAGGGGATAAAAGAAGGTGGGAAGAAATAGAAGAGAGAGCAGACTAGGGGAAGGGGTATTCAGAATGCATGCCATCTTGGGGTGGGGGAGGGGCGAGATGGGGTGAAAATTTGGAGCTTAAAATCTTGTGGAAGCAAATGTTGAAAACTAAACATAAGTAAATTTATATTAAAAGAAAAGAAAAGAAAAACCAGAAACCCTATCTGGATAAGTTGTTTATAAGAAACACACTAGAAATAGAAAGATACACAGAGTTGAAGTAAGGGCTGGAGCAGAATCTGTTATTCTTCTGCTGAAGTAAAAAAAGGCAAGGATAGCAGTGATAATTTTAGAAAAGCAAAAGCAAAACCAGACCTAATTAAAAGAGATAAATAAGGAATCTGCATTTTGCTAAAATTACCATAGGCAATGAGTTAATATCAATACTGTGCATATTTACATGAAATAGAATGATATTTAAATTCTTAAAGAAAAGTTCATAAAGGAAATACAGTAGTATTTCATAGTGTGGTCCTCATGTTGCCCCTCTTAGACCTAGGTAGATTCTAACTAAAATAAAAAAGAAAAGAGTTAATGAAATGAATAGAATTTTTAGAAAAGTTAGCTATGATGGACCTCTGGAGAATATTGGATGGGAATAAAAAGGGCTGTGCTCAGTTGTGCGTGGTACCTTCCCGAAAGTTGACCATGCCTTCCGGTGTAAAAACCTCACAAAGAAGAGCATTAAAGCAGAAATATTAAATGTTTCTTTTACTAACCATAAAGCAATAAAAATTAAATTTAATAAAGGGTCTTTCAAACATAGATTAAAAATTAATTGAAAACTAACAATCTTTTCTGGAGAGAACGTCAAGGTCAGTAAGATTCCATTCCTCTAGCAGTAGTAGAACATGCATCTCGTATTTATGATACTGACAACTAAGTTAAGTTTTATTGATGGTTAAAAAAAAACCCAGGTTTTTATAACCCTCATCACTTTTTTCCACTTAGCTGCTCTACCAGCCGCATAAGTGAGAGAAAGCTGCATAGGACTAGGGACTATTTTGTGTTCTTCATTTCATGGGTTGCCATGGGTGAAGACCTCTCCAAGTGGCCAGCCTCCTAATCAGAAGCCTGTTTGTAAATAGCTCAGCTTGTCCTCAGAAAATAGCCTCAGACTGTTGTCAGGACAGTGATCAAAGTAATTCCAGAATTGTGCAACCTGACAGAACTTGGTATAGACTTTTAGCACCTAAGGTCACCTTCATGCAGTGTGACATGTGGAGGAATTTTCTTAAAAGTCTCACAATTTAAGTTAGAAGTGATATCAGTAGCCATCTAGTTCAGACCACACCCAGAAAGGAATCCCCATTATAAAATACCCTGTAAGTATCTGTAGCCTCTGTTTGAAGACTTCCAATCAAAGGGAAGCCATCATCTTTTAAGGCAAACCGTTCTGGATTTGCATAGTTCTTGTTGTAGAAATCTTTTTGTTTTGTTTTCTGGTGTCTAGCTTAAATTGACCTTTCTGCAAATCCCACTCATTGTTCCTTATCCAACTCACTGGAGCCATACAGAACAAACTTAATCCCTCTTGTGCAGGACAAACCTTGAACACAGATGTTAAGTCCTGTAAGCCTTCTGCAGGCTAAATATTTGCAGCTTTTACTGGTCCTCATATGACAGATCCATTTTTTTCCTCTGTAGGGTTATGCTGAATGAGCGAATTTGGTTATTAATAGGGGCAGGCCCTTTCACTTTGCCTTCCAGTTTACCTTATTCCACTCCTATAGTTCATTTATCCATGTTGAGTAGTCCACTACTCAATCTTCTGAGTAGAATTCCTTAGCAACATGATGTTTCTCTTTCTGGCTGCTTAGAATATTTCTTCTTTGACATGGTAGCTCTGGATCATGTTTCTCAGTGAATTAAACTTGGGATTCCTTCTAGATGTAATCTGTGATTTCTGTTTTTTATATTCTTGAGAAATTTTCTTGTATGATTTCTTGAAACGTTGTATTTCAGGTTTTTTATTTCATCCTATTTTTTCTGTGTTGTTCAGTTTTTTAGATGATTTCTTTGAGTCATTTTCCAAGTCAGTTATTTTTATTTATAGAAGTTTTGTGTCTTTTTGAATCTTTTGATTTGCTCTATTTCTTGTATCATTTAATTTTTGAGTTCTATCTACCTTTGTTTTTTTTTTTTAAAGAATATCTGCTGTTTAGCCCAGGTTTTTATGTGTTTGTTCTGAGCTATATATTCATTAATCTTTTTTTACTTCTCGTTATAATTGCCCACATCTAAGTTCTTCATTTCTTTTGTTAGAACCTCCCATCTCCTGCCATGGTTCATGTGGTCATTCCATTCTTTTTTCTTTAGTTCTGGTTGTCGTCATGGAATTGTCTTCTTCTTTTGAAGTTTTCTCCTTGGATTCTCTTGTCCTATGGTTTTTCCTCATTGTATGAAGATATTTTTCTTTTCCTTTTTGATTATTCTTTCTTTTTGTGATTTTCTTTCATGTAAGAGCTTTCTTGGGATGTTATTTTCCCTTCTTTGAGTGTTCATTGCTCTTTCAGTTAATGCCTTTAATAGGTGATGCAGTGAGACAGGGAGAGGCCTGGGGTCAAGAAGACCTGACTTCAGATATGACCTCAGACACTTATGAGCTTCATCACCCTAGGCAGGTCAGCTCTTCTCTGTATGCCTCAGTTTCCTCATCTGTAAAATGGAGATAATAATAGTACCTACTGCCCAGGGTTGCTATGAGGCTAAAATGAGAAAAGCTCTTAGCACAGTGCCTGGCACATCAAAGGAGCTATCTAAATGTACACTGTCATTATTATTTCTAGTTGCTTTGATGCATTAAGAGGAAGGAGCATCACATTAATAACTGACTCAACCATCTTGCTGGAAGTTTTGGTATAAATAATTTAGATTTTATACATCACTGTAAAAAAAGTCTCCCCTACATCCCTTCACCAGTAACTTCAGTTCTCACGCAGATGGCCTTTGCTTGGCCTCAGACTCCATAGTTGTTTATTCAAAAAGTGGGTTCTCTATAATCCCATACAGATGTATCATAATTTTTAATTAGTAAATCAGGAAAAATGTCCGTCAAGATACTAAGGGTTTGTTGTAAGAACTGTCTCCCCAATTTAGGGTAATTGATTTAGAGCCCAAAGGGACCTTAGAGACCACATGCCTTCTCTGAGAGAATGAAGAGACTTGTCCAAGGTCGCACAAGGGCGAAGTGGCAGAGTAGGGGCTGGGCACAGAACCTCCGGCCCTGAATCCCACGTGATTTCTGTGTTTGCAGATGCCCTCCTTTTGCTTGGGGCGATCCTTACACTTCAGCTTACTGTGAACATCTTAATGCCCAGAAATGTGGCTGATATTGCTTGACTTTTCTTGGTGGGATTTTGGACTGGAGGGGATCAAATTGACCTTTTGAAATTGGAATATAATTGAGAGTTCACCTGGATTTAATTTGCTTAGCATTAGATTTTCACAACCCCATTTTCTAGTAGCTTCTCACAACACTGCTCTGGGGACCTTCTCTAGAGTGACTCTTAGTGGTTTTGAAAAATTTATGATATTTATAATATTTTGTAAATATGATATTATAATATATATATGTCCTTGTTAAATACTGTTGAACCAACTGTATTTGTGTTTTTTCCCAATAGGTTAAAGCCGCTGAATCAAAGATAACAAATTTAATTTACCTAAAGCATACTCTAGAACTTGTGGATCCTTTAAAGGTAATTTTAAAAATCACAAATACATTTCATAGTACAGTTCTCTGAGGTGATTGACCACATTTCATGGATCTAAGACATTTAAGTAGAGCTGGATAACTAAATAGTGTGGCATTTGCCTTCTATATTGGCCTGAAATCCAGGCTAGTAGAGAAGATAGGAATGAGTCTGAGCATTTAATTCAAATGCTCTTCCCTTCCAGAAAGCAAATAGACAAGGACTAGTGGGAAGGAAGTGGAAAGAAAACATACCAGAGCTCCCCCGTGTAGTTCCTCCCTTCCTTCCTTCCTTCGGTCGGCACGTCTTAAGCCACTTCAGTGTGTGACGTACCGTGCTCGATGTGGAAGGGTGTACCAATGCAGAGTTCCATCCCCAGCTCTCGAGGACCTTCTGGCATCAGAGGGGAGTTAAAATTCATCCACACACAACTGGAACAGAACAGAACAGAGATGGGGTTAAGTCAGTCAACGAGCATTTAGTAATTGTTTACTACGTACAGGGCATTGTACTGACTAAGCGCAGTAGGGTTGGAGAAATGTTCCAGCCTCCAGAGAGCATACAGCTTATTAATAACCAGGTAGATGTGAGATATTTACAGGCGTTCATGGCTGGGGGCACTCAAAAAGGCCTGGAAGGTCAGGGAAAACAAGAACGTGAAGGTGGTGGAGCAGAGTATCCCAGTTAGAGGAGACAGGACAAAGACGAGGAGGTGGGAGATGGAGCGTGGTGTTCAAGGAGCAGCAGGTGGGCCAATGTAGCTGGTAGGAAGGGGGCAGGTTATGAAGAGCTTGAAATATGGAACACAGGGCTTTGTATGGAAGCCCTGGGTGACCCTAGGCAGGTCACTTAACCTCTGTTTGCCTTAGTTCTCTCATCCATAAGAGAGAGTGATAGCAGCACCTCCCTTCCCTTCCAGGGTTGTCCTGAGGATCAAAGGAAGTCATGATTATAGCTGATTCAGCACAACCCCTGGCACACAGTCAGCTCTGTGGAGATGGTAGCTCTTTCTAGGGAGTTACTGGAGCTCACTGTGGAGAGGAGAGTGGGCAGTGAGACCAGCTAGAAAACGCCAGGCAGGGATAGAGGTGGTGACAGCCTGAACTAGCATCATGGCCGTGTGTGTGTGGAGAAAAGAGACACGGAGGAGAGATGGTGTGGAGGCAGCAATGACTCTGTCAGTGAAAGAGTGACCCTGACCAAGGACGCAGGCTGGTGTAACTGGAAGGACAGCCGTCCCCTCAACAGTAATGAGGAAGTGGGGAAAGACAACGAGTTCTGTTTTGGACGTGACGAGTTTGACTTGCCAATGGACGTCCTAGTTGAGATGTCCAAAAGGCTGCTAGCAATATGAGCTCAGGAGAGAGATTAGGGCCAGAGATAAAGATCTGGGAATCATTAGTATAATTTGATCATTAAATTCATGGGAGGGGGCAGCTAGGTGGTACATTGGATAGAGCTCTGACCTTGGAGTCAGGAGGACCTGAGTTCAAATGCAGCCCCAGACCAAACACTTGACACTTACTAACTGCGTGACCCTGGGCAAGTCACTTAACCCCAATTGCCAAAAAAAAAAAAAAAGAATTCACGGAATCTAGTGAAATCACTGAAAGAAATGGTGTAGAGCAAGGGATCTTAACCTGAAGTCTGTGAACTTGTTAAATATTTTGATAATTTTGAATATAATTGTTTTTATAATTTCAAATATAATTGGTTTCAAATATGATTGCTATTTCAATATAATTGGCTTCCTGTGTTATCTCATGTGTATTGTATTGTACATTTAAACACATTATTCTGTGAGGAGTCCATAGATTTCCCTGGAATAGCAAAGAGGACCATGACATGAAAAAGGTTAAGAACTCATATAGAGGGAGAAAAGAAGTGGACCCCGGACAGAACCTTGGGGGGCAGCCACAGTTATCAGATGTTACCTTGAGACTCTGAGAAGGACGCTCCGACGAGTAGGAGGAGGCCAGGAGAGAGCAGAGGCAGGCAAACTAGTAACCAAGAAAGCAGGGCGCTGTAGTAGAGAGCACACTGCCCTTGGCGTCAAGAAGACTTGGCTTCAGGTCTTCCCTCTGACACACGCGAGCTGTAGGACTGTGAGCCCGTCATTTAGTAGATCAGCACTCCAGTCGAAGACGCCTTGGCATAGGAGTTTCAGTATGTCCATCATAGAGTTCTATAGAGCAGTGAAATCACAGATCTGAACCAGAAATGCTAGGAAAAAGTAAACAGCTGAACAGAATGCGATAGGAATGTCAGAGGGGCAGAATGCTATTTGAGGAGAAATAGCATTTTGACTTCGCGAATCAGGGAAAGAGGAGAGAGGTGGATTTTCAGTAGGTAGAGAGGGTGGCTTGGTTATTAATAGGAGATTTAGAATTGGAAAGGGCCCCAGATAGAATTCAATCCTGCCCCCTCATTTTATAGATGAGGAATGGGCACTCATTGTAAATGAAGCCTGGGGCCCCTAGAGGAGAACTGATTTTCCTGCTGTCAAATTGAATAATATGTGGCATAGTCATGATTTGAACCCAGGTACTTCGACCACAAAGACATTGTTTCCTCTAATGCTGTACCCCCCTAGTGATTAAGTCTTTGAAACAAAGTAAAGAAAGTAAAATGCCTCGTGGCCCTCAGGTCTGAATGCCCCTTCCACTTTTACCGGGCCAGTGGCAGAACACATCCCCCAGCGTTAAATCTGAGAACTTAGGGCTGGTAGTTGCTTGCTAAGTCAGACCTCATCCTGGATTTGTCTATAGGAAGCGGTGGGATGCATTCTGACGTGGACAGAATTACAGTGGCAGCTTTGGCAGACTAAATCCCTAAAGATTTTAAAAGAGCCACTGCTGATCCCAGAGAGGAAGAGCATTGGCTAAAAGCTCGAGGTGAAGGCTTCTTTTCTTTCTACCTTCTTCTCTGAATGTTACAAAGTTTGCCTAAATTAAAAAAAGAAACGCTCACTTTTGCATGAAGGAACTGCTTAAATTCATTGTTCTAGGAAGTAAGTGGGAAGTAATCATTTGAAGCTTTGGGTTGGTGACCAAAAATGTTAAGAAAGAATTGCATTTATATTAAGATCATAATAGATCTTTCTGGACTTATTACATTGGAGGAATTGATATTCATGAATTGTAACCCTAAGATTTCTATTTACTAGGCATTGCTGAAGAAGTGTAACACCCCTTTATTAAAGGCTTACTGCAGTTCCTTAGAAGACAACAGGTATTGCTTCAACTTCTCTACTCAATGAACATCTGATTTTTCTCTCATTTCTATCGCTAGTTTTGAATGTAAGGATAGTTAGTTAATTAGACTTTATGTTGTAATTACTCTATATTTGGTTGAACATTTCTTTTAAAATGTTCATTTAATTTAAAATCACATTTTATGTTTTGGTTTGCAAATGTAATTACTGGGAAAATGGATCCATTGCTTGTTTATGCCAAAGGGAAATATAGATTTTGTGGAAAATGGAATCTACAGACGGTGTGAAAAGCCCTTTTCAGGCTGCAGAAGTTTCAGCTTCTTCACAAAATTTGATGAAGTTCTGTCTTATGGAACTAACAATACACACACACACACACACACACACACACACACACACACACACACAAAATACAGAACATATATATATACACACAAAATACAGAATATATATATATATATACACACAATACAGAATATATAGTATATATACACATAAAATACAGAATATATACGCACGCACACACACACACACACACACACACACACACACACAGTTCCTCTTCCATATGGCAGCTATTCAGGTATCTGAAGGCAATAATCATGTTTCCCCAAAGAGTTCTCCAGGAACCTCCAATTCATTCCTCATTTGGTATGGTTTTGAGACCCCTTCACTATCCCCCTGGAATGCTACAGATTCTCAGTGACCTTCCAAAAATGTGGTGCCCTCTGAAGACACATTTCAGTTCACCCTTCCATCTACTTTCTCCTGTTAGCAGCCAGATTCCTAGCAAAAGCTGCGGGCCAGGGGCCAGGTGGATTCTCAGCCCCTCGTTCCAGACACCATACTTCTGATGCGTCTAAAGAGCTCCTCAACTTTCGTGGTGTCTACATTTCACTTTTTTCTCATGGTGAGCCTGTAGTTCGCTAAAACTACAGTTCTGCCCCATCTTGACTTTGTGTGAGTAATTTTTGAACCTAATTATACAACTTTACATTTGACCCTGTTAAACTTTGTCCCCTCCGTGAAGTCACATGCGGGTTTCATGATAGCATGGAGGTGCCACGGGGTCGTCCTGACACCAGACTGGGTCCGGGGGACGCCCAATGACACACACAGAAGGCTGGCCCCTTGGTGACAAGTCACAAAATTGTCCTGCGTGTTCTTGACCTTGTCTAGTGATGGTGGCAGAGCAGGGACCAAGAGGCACAAGAATGACCCTTCTAAAACGTCTGTGAAGGCTTGTGTCTGTGCATCAATCATTGGGTCTGCAGGCATCCGTTAAGTGCCTACACATTTGAGACCTCACTCAGTAACTCATGAGTGTACGTCATAGTAGAGGAAGCGAATTGTATCAGTCCTGACATTCCCAGGATAAAAGAAGCCTGAAGATAGAAGCCATATTTCAGCTAAACGGAAGGGTGGCCTACAGGTTTTCCTCATAGAGGCAAAGAAAGCAGTTGGCTGAGTTGGTTTTACATGTCCAAGAACTAAAAGAAATACCATTTCAGGACTTACTTGCCCATCCCATCTTGGAAGTACTTGTGGCAATTAACATTTGAAAAAGACCACGATGAAAATAATTGAAGCTTGTGTGTCAAATCTGTTGCTGGGGATGAAGAGATAGAGAAATTCAATGACATATTCAAGAAAACGAGGCTGAGGAGGGGAGGGACCCCTGTAAGACTGACAACGTTCCAGTGAAGACACAAATTAAGGGTTGTCTGAAGAGCCCAGGGTGGAAGCCCAGAGAGCGTCCTTCCTTCACAACGTCACTCAACTCTGGTCCCTTCTCTTCCCTTGTCAGCACCTTCGTTCGGGCTGTCACCTGGTCTCTTACAAAACCATCCTCATTGCTTTCTTTCCGCTGGCCCATCCATAGATTTTATCAGAAAGCTCTGGGGACTGTGACCTCTAGGCCACTGTGCAAACTCTGCACTTGGCATTCGAAGCCCTTTGCAGTATGGCTCCAGTCTGCCTTCCCTGGCTTATTGAGCATTGCTCCTCCCTGGGTACTCTACACTGTAACCAAATTAGCTTAATCAGTCAGCAAGCATTTACTGGACACTTAAAGGCATCTGGAGGACACAGAGCAGTGGACCTGGAGTCAGGAAGACCCGAGTTCAAATCCAGCCTCGGACACTTAGTAGCTTTGTAACCCTGACTTCGTGTCTGTTTGCCCCAGTTTCCTCGTCTGTAAAATGTGTATCGTGATAGCACCTGCCTGCCAGGGTTGTTGTGAGGAACAAATGAAATAATAATTGTCAAACACTTCACCAACCTTAAAGTGTTATATGAACGCTAGCTGCTGTTACTCTTGTTGTTTACTTTAACAATTTATAATATAACAATAACGACTTAACGATGTACCAGGCTGCGCTAAGTGCTAAGGATAGAAAGAAAAAGCAACAATAGCCTTTGTCCTCAAAGAGCTCACATTCTAATGGGGGAGAAGCACGTATAAAAATGTGTCTCTGTGTGTGTATGCATATTTGTACATATACATATGTAAATAGTTATACATGCACACATATCTTGCCAGGCACATAGTGAACACTTAATCAAGGCTTGTTGACATATGCAGTGATAGAAGCCGAAGACAAAGAAGGCCCCGAAGCTGGGGGAAGGGGTGCAGACTAGTAAAATACTCCTTTAGAGAAGATCTATACCTCACAGAATCACAGAATTTGAGAGTTGGAAAGTTGTTTAATGGACCACACAAGGATGAGTGAATCAGAAAGGCTTATTAAATACCTGGCGCTGTGCTACGTGCTGGAGGTGTGAAGATTTTACAAGAGGCCACACCTGCCCTTGAGGAGCTTACATTCTGATAGGGGAAGATGGCACATCGAGGGGTGGTGTAACCAGGAGAAGGGGGACCTCTCTGCCCCTAGAAGATGCATGCCTCAGACTGAAGCTCAAGATTGCATTAATTTTCTTGTCTGCTACCTCACACTGCTGATTCATACTAAACTTGCAGTCCCTTGAAACCCCCAGATTTTTTTTTAGAATTTCAGCCTATTTTGTACTTGTGAAATTGATTTTTTTGTGTGCCCAAGTGTAAGACTTCAGATTTACCTTTATTAAATTTCATCTTAGATTTTGCTCAGTGCTCTTAACTTAGATTTGGCTCAGTGTTCTTAACTGTGAAAATAGCTTTGGTTCCTGACTCTGTTAACTACTGTGTTTGCTATTTCTCTCTGCTTTGTATGATCTAAAACTCTGGGGAGCATAAAAAGGATCCTGTATGAAACTATGAATATCCATGTTTTTTTAAAAAAGAATATTAATAAGTTCAACACTCTTTTATTTGTCAGTACTTCCATCCAAACTTCCTTCTGTTCTGTGCATTTTTAAAAGTGTTACATGGCCTTCTTCTTTTGTTCATCGTCGTCTATAACCCCACTTCCCCACTGACTATCTTTTCCAATTGACCAAGGAAATAAAGGAAAAAATCCCATGTGACAAATAAGCATAGTCAGGCAGCGTGTATCTGCCCAGGGCTACCCATGACCACACCGGTGGCCATACACACACACACACACACACACACACACACACACACATACATACATACATATAAAGAAATAGCTATTTTTGTACCTTGTGCCCATCATTTCTAGATCAAGAGGTGGGTAACACACTTCATCATAGATCTCCTGGAGACATTGTATTTATTGGTCAGAATTGAGTCTCCCAGAGTTGTTTTTCTTTACAGTGTTGTCTTTGTTTTCCTGCTTCTCCTTACTTCATGTTGTCATTTCATACTACTCAGGATTCTCTGAATCATTTCTTATGTCACAATATTCTATTACATTAGTGTACTACTGTTTGTTCATCCAATTGTCTTAAGAGGCCATTACCTAAATTCTAGTTCTTTTCTTTTTTATCTCTTTTTAACTCTCCCATTAAGATCAGAAAGTTTATTTTATTTGTGACTTTTCCCTTCCTAGTATTTTCTTTCTCCTAATACCACTACCCCTTTCTAATCTTTGCTTGTTTTTCTGTTGAGTTTGATGTATTTCTACACCAGACTCTGTGTATGTACTATTTTGATCCTCTTGTGTGTGTTTCAAGTAAAAATGAGGTTTATTTGATGCGTACCTCTTTTCCCATGTTTGAATGTACTTTTCAGGCATCCCAGTTAAAAGAAATAGCAATTTCCGTTCCCTTCTTCTTCCTTTTCTACTAATGCATTCCTTCTCTTACCTTCTCTTCTCTTTTCTTTTTCAAAACTCTGAGAAACAGAACAGTTCCCTCTTGCCATAAGCTCTGTTTCTCCTAGTTAACTCATTCATTGCCCTTTGAATACATTAAGGTTCTAAAGGGTTGCTTGTTTCTTCTCTTTTTAAAGTCTTAGCACTCCATCATCATACAGCACTTCCAATCACTTAAATAAATTTACCTTCTAAATATTTTTAAATTCCTCTTCAGCTCTAGTTGTTTGATAAGGAGCAGCTGGAGCTGAAGAGGCATTTAAAAATGTGCACACAAGCGTCCTGTGAAACCCAGAAAGGTAGATTTATGGAAGGTCCATTTCCACCCTGTAGGACTGAATCCAGCTTTGCAGGATGTTGTTTTTAAAGGCCCGTGTGGTTCGCCTTCTGGAAGGTTGTACTCCAACATTTCCTCACGTCTTCTGTGCTCTCGACTGTTGTTCCTTGTATTTCTTGATTGCTCTTTGGTCTGGTGCAAGAAGGAGAAGGAATAAGTATTTATGTAGGTCCTACTATGTGCCAGGGATTGTGCTGAGTGCTTTTTACGTACATTATTCCATTTGATCCTCACAACAACCTTGAGAGGTAGATACTATTATTACTCGGTTTACAGATGAGAAGACTGAGGCAAACAGCAGTGAAATGACTTGCCCAGGGTCACACAGCTAATATGTATCTGAGTCTGTATTTGAACTCAGGTCTTCTTGACTCCAGACACAGTGCTCTGTGCACTGTGGTGCTCCCTACCTGCCTCTGGTGCAGCCTTCAAGTATTTGCTGTAATAGCTGTGTGGGAGCCAGATGGCCTGCCTCCCTTTATGCAGTCATCTTGACAGGAAGTCTTCAACCTCGACTTTCTTCAGATAGTTAATAAAAAATGTTAAGCAGCACAGGGCCAATTACAGATTCCTGGGGCACTTCACTAGATGCTTCCTGCCATATTGTCATTTGACATTGAACCATTAATAGCTACTCTTTGACTTTGGCCATCCGGCCAGCTCTGAGTCCATCTGATTAGATTGTCTTCTACTCCACATCTTTCTGTCTTCTCCACAAGAAGGGTATGAAATACTTACTCAAATGCTCTACTAAAATCAAGGTGAATTCTGACCATAGCATTCCTGTCATCCACTAATTGAGTAGTCCCATCAGAAGAGGAAAAGAGGTTGGTCTGGCCCAGGCTGCTCTGTATGAATCCCTGATGGCTCGTAGCAGTCACTCTAGATGCTCATCGGCCAGTTCCCCTGTGGTCTTTCCCAGACACTTGCCCAGGAATTGAAGTCGAGCTCTTCAGCCCATAGTTGGCAGGTTTTGTTCTCGTCCCTTTTCTTTGAACAGTATTCACCTCCCCTCTGTCATTCTTCATGGTCTTCAAACACCATCGACAGAGGCTTTTTGCAGTGCCAAGGGTTAAAGTTCGTCTGTGTCAGGTGACTTAAATTCACTAAGAACAAACAGAGTTCCTTATCTTGGATGTCATCTTCCTGTTTGCCATTTTTCTTCTGTCATTTCCAGGGCAAAGATCATTCTTCACAGAGAAGACAGGTGCAGAATTAAGACTTGAGCTCTTCCTTCTCTCTGTTAAGAGGGATTCGCTTCTTTAGCACCCCCAGCAGTGCTCCAGTCCATTTTTTGACCTGACTTTTCCCCCACTCGAGCTAATATCCATTCTGTTTTTGGCAAAGTTCCAGCAGATTTCTGGATAATTCATGCACCGTGCCCCCAAGTATTGCTGTATTGGGCTTCTGGGCCAGTTTGTGATCTGTTTCCCCAAATCATCATCTAGCTGGTCTATGGTCTGCTTCAAGGGAAAAATGACTTCTGTTTCTCCATTCACTGATCTTTACTCAAACACTCTCTGTCATTCTTCCCTTTTCTGATTTCTAGATTTCTTCAAATGAATACATCCTGTGAATATAAAGTGCTGCTCATCCCTTCCCCATCCTCCTGCCCCCTTTTCCTACTCTGGTTCTTTTGAATAAAGCAGTCTCATTCAGAGCCATGGTCTAGTCATGGATTTTATCCCACCAAATCTCATTGATACTTATGACGTCACATTTGTCTCTTTCCATTAGACCTTCAGTTCCTCTCCACTGTTGCCTAGACTTTGACTATTTGTTTATAGACATTGGAGACCACTGGCAGATTTGTTGGATTTTTGTCTTGTGTGAACTTTTCATTGTTTCACCAGCTGTTCCTTTTTATAGCTACTCTTTGGTATATTACTCGGTATATATATGTATATGTATATATGTTTTTTATATATGTACATACACACATACACACATACATACACATATATGTACATTTTTATACATATACACATAATATGTATACATGTTTTCTCCTCTGTTAGAATGTAAGCTTCTTGAGGGCAGTGACTGTCATTTTTTCACTTTGTATCTTTGGCACTTAACACAGTATGTAGCACAGAGTAGATATTTAATAAATGCTTATTGGTTAATTTGAAATTGATAAGAGACAAATTTAGGCTTGATGTCATGAAAAACTTCCTAAAATGAGGGCTGTCCCAAGTGAGTGGACTGTGAAGACGGCAAGTTCCCTCAGAGTCTGGATGGCTCCTTTTTCTGTGTGTACTAGTGGGCCTTCCCTTTTGTGTGTGATTTGGACCAGATAGATGGCTGCTGAGGTCCCTTCTAATTCCCAACTACTGTAATTCTCTGATGCCCTTCACATTAAATCAACATTTAATTTGTGGTACTTAGTGATTTTAAAGTTGGGGGAATGTGGTGAAAAATGCTTTGTGCAGTATGGTTTAGGCATAAGAAGTAAGATTAAATATGGCAGCTAGGTGGCTCCATGGTGCATAGAGTGCTGGGCCTGGAGTCAGGAAGAATCATCTTGCTGAGTTCAAATCTGGCCTCAGACACTTACTAGCCGTGTGACCCTGGGTAAGTCACTTCACTTTGTTTGCCTCCGTTTCCTCATCTGTAAAATGAACTAGAGAAGGAAATGACAAACCACTCTAGTATCTTTGCCAAGAGAACCCCAAATGAGGTCACAAAGAATCAGTCACTACCGAAACTGAAATGATTAACAACAGAAGAATAAAACTAAGAAGATATGGCACACAGTCAGTCAGTATGCATTTATTAATGACCTACTATGTGTCAGACATTACTGAGCATTGGGATACAAAAAAAGGAAAAGAGCCCCAGCCCCTACCCTCAAGGAACTCGCAGTCTGATAGAGGACACAACGTGCCAGCAATCAGACACAAAGAAGATATGTATCAGATTAGTTAGAGACAAGCAGCAGAGGGAAGGCACTAGCATTAAGGGCCTGGGGAAAGGTTTCTTGCAGAAGGTGAAATTTGAGCTGTGACTTGAAGGAAGCCAAAAGATAAGAGATGAGGAGGAAGAGAATTGTAGGCTTGGGAGACAGCAGTGAAAATGCGTGGGATCAGGAGATGGAGTCTTGTGTGAGTACTAGCAAGGAAATAATAGACATTGTTTCCTTCTGGTTTTTTCTACTGCTGTATATATTAGTTTATTGGCTAACTGATTAAGGTTTTCTAAGTAAACTGCCATGTCATCGGCAAGCCAGGAAATGGAGATGAGGAGTGAGGAATGCCAGGCTTGAGGGACTGCCTATTTGGCATATTTGACAACAGCAATAATAACTAGCATTAGTTTAACACTTTAAGATTTTCAACATTTCTGACAAATGTTATCTCATTTAATCCTCACAACAACCTTGGGAGGTAGGTGGTGTTAAAAATCCCCGTTTTACATTGAGGAAGCTTGCCCAGACATCACTAATAAGGAACTGAAGCCAGATTTGAATTCAGGTTTTCCTGTCTCCATGTCAGTGCTCTATCCATTGCAGCGTTTAGTGAAGCATGTAAAAAAATTAATAATTACACCAACTTGGGGCATCTGGGTGGTGTAGTGGATAGAGCTCTGGCCTTGGAGTCAGGAGGAACAGAGTTGAAATCCAGCCTCAGACACTTGACACTTAACTAGCTGTGTGTCCCTGGGCAAGTCACTTAACCTCGATTGCCTCAGCAAAAAAAAAAAAATTACACCAACTATTACCATTTCCTAGGTAAATTTAATCAGTCAATGTAGGTCAGTTATCACGAGATAAAAAAAGGTATCGAAACCACCCTGATCAACCCTTAGGAGGAAGATGCTAGCCAAGGGTAATACAGAATATATACTTATATGTAAAAACTTAAGATTCAGAAGCAGTAGAAAGACAAGTGAGTTTGTAGAAAGCTTGTTGATTATGTAAGCCATCCCAAGATCATTTAAGGATGAAACCTGAAGGACAGCAGATGAAAAGGTGGTCGGCTCCTTCCATGGCAGCGGAGCCGCCGTCTTTGACCTCTCCCATCACATTCCCTATTGTAGATATCACACTGAAGAAAAGACGAGATGGAGAGCAGATGGCCTTGAGCTTGTGTGTATGGAAGACGTCCATCCTGGAGGCATCGCAGCTTTGAGGGCATTAAAGAATTCATTCTTAAGCAAAAGACAAAAGCTTGGACAAAATGACAAAAGTAATTAGCAAATACAAATACCTAATGACTCCGTTGCCTACTTTCACCTTTCTGCCAAATTTTTCTAAAACAATTCCTAGAAGCATAGAATCTGAGAGGGGTCAGGAACATTAGATCCTGGCTATCGAGTACAGACTATGTCTCAAAGAAATCCTCACTATCCCATACCCTCCAAATGGTTCTTACTTCTGCTTTCAGACCTTCAAGAATGGGGAACCCTCTGCCTTTTGAGAGGGCTCATTCTAACTTTGGAAACTCAATTTGTTAGGAAGTTTTTCCCAACAGAAAACCTCAGATGGTCTCTTTACAACTTGCCTCCTTAATCCCAGTTCTGCACCATGGGGATCAAACAGAACAGGTCTGTTCCATCTTCCACATGACGGCCCTGAAGATATTGGCAAACAGCTCCTGTGGCGTTACCTGTGGAAAGGAAGCATGGTATCAGGGAGACCTTGGCTCCGGCCTCCTGTGGCCTCCCACTTTGTTACTGTTTGAAGTCATTTACTTCTCTGAGACTTAGGCTACTCCAAGACTCTAAATCACAGACAAATTGGGATTTATATTTAGGGAGAGAATTCCTACAGTGAAACTATAGGTCCTTGGCATATAAATGTTTTATTATGTATACCCGACTAAAAGCCTAATAATGGCATATTCCAACTGTTAACTTGTCGTGTTAAATTTTTGCTCAACATATATTTCAAACTAATTTCTTTTACTTTATGATCTCTAGTAAAATGTTTTGTTTTCCTCGCTTGCCATTTACTATTAGTCTACTTAGAAGACTTAAAAGTATATATTTTTACTTATTACTTACAAAATACTTTTTAAGGTTTGGAACTATACTTGAAAAAATTAAAACAGTTATTAATGATGATGTAAGATACTTGAAAGGATGTCTGAACATGAGGACTCAGAAGTGCTATGCAGTGAAGTCAAACATAAATGAATTTCTTGATATCGCCAGAAGAACATACACCGAAATCGTAGACGACATAGCAGGTATTTGATTATTTGTGGACACAGAAAAGCATTCATAATGTTTTTTCTTTGTTTTATAAAACTAAAAAAAAATTTACCAAGACATGTTACACTTATTTGTTAGTGAAGGATGACCAAGAATATATTCAATTTAATTTTTAATTGTCTAAATAGTTAGTTAAATTTTATTTCATTTCTTATAATGCAGTATATTGATTTTTAGAAATGATACTTTAATAGAGATCACAAAGTTTTTATCTTCATAATACACTCATGAGTTGCAGAGTATGTATATGAGTGCTCTCAATGTTTCAGTTCATTCTGGTAGAATGAAAGCTATGTACAAATCACTATGAGGTGATCCTGAGTGAGGAGGTACTAAGAAGGAACATAAAGGGAGCAGGGTGTGTGCCTACCTGGGCCTACGGGCCTGGGTGTGTGGTTGGATGTCCTCCCAGCCAAGAGTCACTGCCCTTGTGTCTGATGGTTGCTTCAGGGCAGAGGCATGGAGACTGAGTAGAGGAGGGACCGGGAGACATTCAGTTGGCAGGCAGCCTGGACTACAAACTCATCTTCTCAAGCACAAAGGCACTGTGATTAGGAAAGATGGCTAAGCTGATGATTTGGTCACCCTGCATTCCCCACTCTATGTGTCCTCCCATGCTCATTGGGTTCATGGGAATTTCTCCTTATGTAGGCAAGTCAGTCAGTGGTTACACGTGGAGTTGCCCCCATGAGCTACAGACCTGCAGTAAACTGGTCCTGACACTCACCATGCTTCGTATCCACATAACACCAGGAAGAAAAAAACTCTTAACAGATTGAATGAAAGAATGATGTTACTTTTGGTGATATACCACAGAAAGGTTTTTTAAATGACAGAAATTGATGACTATACAATGTAGCTATTAAAATGTATTATGCAAAATCCAAATTATTCATGTAGGAGCCACAATGTCTGACTAAATCCTTGGGTATTCTTGAGCAAACGAATGTTGAAGCATAGCAGATATTAGTACTTAGGTATTTAAATAAGCAAAGGTTATCTTAAAAGGAGTTGGTCTTACTCATAAGGGGAACATGCTGGGTCTTTGAGAGGTAGCATAAATTATTGGCTAGAGCTCTAGATGAGGAGTCAGCAAGGAGGCCTAGGTTCATATCTTTCCTCGGACACTAACTAGGTGTTTGATCCCAGGCAGATCACTTAACCCTACTCTCCCTCCCCCTGTGGCACGTGAAAGATGAAACAACTGAGGAAAACAAAGCTCTGATCTTCTGAGCATATTTTTTCTTTTTTTAAAAATTTATGTATTTTTAATTTTCAACATACACTTTCACAAGATTTTGAGTTCCAGATTTTCTCCCCATCTTGCCCCTCCCCACACCCCAAGATGGCATGCATTCTGAATGCCCTTTCCCCCAATCTGTCCTCCCTTCTATCTCCCCCCCCCTTCTCTTATCCTCTTCCCCTTCTGTTTTCCTATAGGGCGGGATAGATTTCTATACCCCGTTGCCTGTATATCTTATTTCCCAGTTGCATGTGAAAACAATTTTTAACACTTATTTTTAAAACTTTGGGTTTCAAATTTTCTCCCTTCCTCCTTCCCCACTCACCATCATTGAGAAGGCAAGCAACTTGATATAGGTTGGACATGTGTAGTCATGCAAAGCACTTCCATAGTAGTTATGCTGTGGAAAACTAACGATATTTCCCCTCATCCTATCCTGCCCCTCCCTCTCTTTTGACTCTGTCCCTCCTCAGAAGTGTTTGCTTCTGATTACCCCCTCCCACAATCTGCCCTCCCCTCTCTCATCCCCCTTTTTTCTTATTCCCTTCCCCCGTATTTTCCTGTAGGGTAAGATAGATTTCCATACCCAATTGAGTGTGTATGCTATTCCCTCCTTAAGCCAAATCTGATGAAAGTAAGATTCACTCATTTCCTCTCACCTTCCCCCACTTCCCCTCCACTGTAAAAGCTTTTTCTTGTCTGTTTAATTTATCCCATTCTGCCTCTCCCTTTCTCCTTCCAGTATAATCCTCTTTTACCCCTTAATTTTATTCTCCAGGTATCACCCATGATTCTGTGCTATCTATCTGTCTATATTTCTGTCTGTCTATCTATCTATCTGTCTGTCTGTCTATCTGTCCATATAATTTTTTCCCTCCAACTACCCTAATACTGACAAAGGACTCATGAGTTACAAATATCATCTTTCCACATAGGAATGTAAACAGTTCAAACTTAATAAGTCTCTTATGATTTCTCCTTCCTGTTTACCTCTTCATGTTTCTCTTGAGTCTTGTACTTGAAAGTCGAATTTTCTATTCAGCTCTGATCTTTTCATCAAGAATGCTTGAAAGTCCTCTATTTCACTGAATTTCCATTTTTTCCCCTGAAGAATTATACTCAGTTTTGCTGTGTAGGTGATTCTTGGCTGTAATCTTATCTCCTTTCCCCTCTGGTCCCTTAATGCAGAAGCTGCTAAATAAATCCTGTGTTATCCTGATTGTGTTTCCACAGTACTTGAATTGTTTCTTTCTGGCTGCTTGTAGTATTTTCTCCTTGACCTGGGAACTCTGGAATTTGGTTATAACATCTTAGGAGTTTTCCTTTGGAGATATCTTTCAGGAGGCGATCAGTAGATTCTTTCAATTTCTATTTTGCCCTCTGGTTCTAAGATATCAGGGCAGTTTTCCTTGATAATTTCTTGAAAGATGATGTCTAGGCTCTTTTTTTGATCATGGCTTTCAGATAATCTGGTGTTTTTTAAATTATCTCTCCTGGATCTATTTTCCAGGTCAGTTGTTTTTCCAGTGTGATTTATTTATTAATCAGTGCGTGCCAGTTGTGCAGCTTAGGCCTGGATCCCAAATACAGGGGGAGACAGACTTTTATATATCAAAAACAATCAAATAAAGCCAATTATAACATTAGGTAATCTGATTTATCATTGGAGGAAAGATTAGAGACTTTCCAAATTTGGAGGGAGAGAGTGAATGGGTACAATCCCTGAATACAGAAAAAGAGGTGTCCTGCTCCCCCAAGTGTCCATAAGCAATCAAAGGAACATGGAAACAATAACTGATTGATCAATCCAGGCTGGTTTTCAGATGACGTATGGGTTGCTTGTGATGTACAATTGTGAGAAAACGCCTTGCCTCAACCTTTGGATCTGACTGGATTCGGGTCAGCATACCTGAGGTCCTTGCTTAAGGGTCTCTGAGCAGCAGGGAGAGATCATCCAGCTTCCCAGGTTCAAAACACAGAAGTTGGACTAGACCCATAATTGAATAGAAAGGGAACTGGGCTGGCTCCAGAACTGAGTCACAAGATGGCATCAGTGGGGGTCACTCAGCTCCCACAATTAACCACTTACTGTCCTGATCCCCTTAATTCCCTCACCCCGCCCCCATTCCCATTCTCGGAAACTAATAAATTCAAATTTGTTTCCCTATTCTGGAAAATGGGTGCAGTTGGACTTTATGGTCCTGTGAGGTCCCTTTTGGCTCTCAATTCATGATTCTATGGCAGTGACTCAAAGGATAACAGATACAGAGCTAAAAGGTCACGTTTTGAAAATGAATACTATAGGCAGCTAGGTGGTAGTACAGAAAGAGTGCTGGGCTAGAGCCAGGAAGACCTGAGTTCTAACATGGCCCTAGACACTTGGCGGCTGTGTGACCCTGGGCAAGTCACTCAACTCCTGCCTGCTTCAGTTTCCTCATCTGTAAAGTGAGGCCAATAGTAGCACCTACATTCCAAAGTTGTTTTGAGGATCAAAAGAGTTAATAGTTGTAAAGTGCTTTCAGAACCTTAAAGAATTCTGTATCTGCTATCATTTATCCTTCTTATTTTTGATAGAACACCAGTGACTGGACCACCCATAGACTTCATTCCAAGAATCACTGATGTGCACAGTAGCCATCCCCTGCGCCCAAATAAAAACATTGGTGAAAGGCAGTGGGCAGCATTTTTTAGTTACTAATGTGTATTCATCCCAAAAAGTTTATATTGCGTTGGTTTCTTGAAGTTCTAGTCACGCGTGGTTGGGGGACTTAAAGCCTCTGGGCCACATGTGGCCCTGTAGGTCCTCAAGTGCAGCCCTTTGGCTGAACCCAAACTTCACAGGACAAATGTTGAGGACCTTGAGGGCCACATGTGGCCTTGAGGCTACCGCTTCCGCACCCTGTTCTAGTGTTTCATTATATTCAACACATTGCTGGTCTAACTAGTTAATTGGTGCGCACGACAGCCAGACCAGTCTTCAGGTCCTTGCCACAGCCTTAGAGAGGCCAGAGCTGTTGTGGAGCTCATCTTGCCCAGACAGTCCAGGTGAGAGGCAAGTGGAAGCCTGAGAACTATAGCCCAGAAATGGGGAAAGCCAGCCTCCCTTGGCCGTAAGGATTCTTTGGAGCAAAGGTGTCAAATACAGGCCCTGAGCCTCCTGAAGCCCACACCAGTCCTAAGTGTGACGTGAACCTGACTAAGTGCAATTGGGAAACATTTAACACAGTAGGTAAAAATAGAGTCAAACGTGAGAATATGAACATGTGGTTTCTAATGATATCTGTGGCCCACCGAGATCCTTAGCTAGGGGTTTGTGTCCCGTGTCTGTCTGCCTTCCACCCTCCTCCTTAAAGGGCCACTCACCTGAGGGAGCGGCTACAAAGGTGTGACCAGCTCTTGGACTGAGGAAGCTTCCTGAGGGTCACTTTATGAAAGCCATTTACTTTTCCTTGTTCAAACTGGAGGCACATGGAATTGAAGTTGACAAAAATGCCAATGCAAGGAGAGAAGAATGTGTCTGTTTTGGCCTGACTTTTGATAAAAATAGGCAACTTGGAGTAGAGTAAGTTAGTTATTTGCCCTTGGCCCTATTCTTGGCCACACTTTTATCAGCAATTTTGTTGAAGGCATTGGTGGAACACTAGTCAGATGTGCAGCTGACCCAAAGCTAAGAACACTGAATAGAACAGGGCCAAGGAGAGATCCCTATTTAAAACAATTAATTTCTGAAAATTGGTAGAGGAAATTTATTATTTAGCAAATGTCATTGTTAATGCTTTGTGCATTTAAAAAATAAACCAAAAATACTATTCATAACTTGCAGAGAGAACATACAGAGGCCAAATCTGATTACATTTTGAGGGGAAAGGGGAAAATCTCCCCTCTCTTTGAAAAAGTGCAAATAGGTAACTTTGTGTGAGGATTTTTAAATGATAGTAAATGTCTTACTATACCTTATAAGCAGATTTCTAGCATTTTAATGTATGATAAGTTGAAATATGATTTTTCAATGGGTATATAAAATTATAGAAGAATAATGTTTTCAAAAAGATTTCAGATTAAACAATGGGCCTCTCTTTCGCTCTTTCTTTTGGCTGATACTAGGAATGATAACACAACTTGGAGAAAAATACAGCCTGCCTTTAAAGACGAGTTTTAGCTCTGCTCGAGGATTTTTCATTCAGATGAACATGGATTGCACATCACTACCCAGTGGTCAACTTCCCTCTGAATTTATTAAGGTTTATTTTGAAATGATCATTGAAATGATTTTTTAAAATATGGATTCTGTGCATATGTTTATATAGGCATCCTCATATTACACAATTTAGACTAGTCCTTTAAATATGGATTGGTAGATGTATGCTATCTCAGGTCTGTCTACTAACCCACTCCATTCAAATAAAGAACCACTATTTGCTACCTGAGCTTTGAGAGTTGTTGCCCATGGCAGCGGCTGTGGGGTGTTGTCCTTGTCCACAGGCATATTGACCTTGACTGCTCACCACACTGCTGGCAGTCTCCTCCACATTATCTGTTCTTTTTCCTTAGCCTGTTTCCAATTTCCCTCTTCCTTTTACATTTTTACTTATTATCTCCTTTTTATTCTATCTATGAGCTAAAAAGCAGCCTCAAAACATCAGATTTAGAGATGCAAGGGAGCCTAAGGATCATTACATTTGAACTTGAGCTGGAGAGAACCTTAGAGATTGTCTAGTTTTATTTTATTATTATACAGACGAGAAACCGAGTCCCAGAGCCAGAGGTGCACTGGCATCAGCTTAGCCCAGCTCGTGAGGCCCAGTGACTGAAAACCGAGGCTCAACCGATTGGTTTGTTGATTGTCTAGACTTAAGAAGTGATGGAGAAAATGTGAATAATGCGGATTCAGCTTTAAAGTGCACCATCAAATTTTTTTTTTCCTGAAGAGCTGGTTGTTAAACAATGATGAGCCCACTGCTGCCCAGAGAGTCTGACTGACGTGTTGCTCGTACAGTCAGAACTGTAGTGAAAACTTAGATCTTTACTCCAAGTCCCATGCTTTTTTCACTCGACTATGTTGTTTTCATTTAACAGTCAGTCAGTGGGGCAGCTAGGTGGCGCAGTGGATAGAGCTCTGGCCTTGGAGTTAGAAAGACCTGAGTTCAAATCCAGCCTCAGACACTAGACACTTACTAGCTGTGTGACCCTGGGCAAGTCACTTAACTCCAATTGCCTCACCAAAAAGCAAAAACAACAACAACAACAGAAAAGCAGTCAGTCAAGTCAATCAGCAAGATTTATCAAATGCTGGAGGAGGAGGGCTGAAAGAAACCAAAACAACCATGAAAGGCTTTTCAGAAATGTGGGCACAGAGGTGCAGGATTTAGCAGCTAGATCTGGTGCTGGCTGAGGAATAGCCATGAGGCTGAGGGAAGGTTGGAAGGGATCAGGTGACCCAACAGGGGGCTTGACATTTGGCCTGAGAGGCTGTTGGCGCCACTGACATTTGGGGAATGGGGGAGGGGTGGTAACACAGTCAGATTTGTCCTTTGAGAACATCAGTGTGGCCAGCGTGTGGAGGACAGGTTGGAATGGGGGAGACAAGGCAGGGTGATGGATGAGAAGCAGCTCAGGGAGGGGTGAGGGGGGCCTGAAGTAGGCTGGTGACTGAGGGGCCATGACATGCTCTCTCCACCTGTAGAGCCACCACTTTGGCCCAGGCCCTTATTGTCTGGTCTTCCAGTCCATTCCCTGCGTAGCCGCTAACGTGATTTTTCTGAAGTGTGGATCTGAACCTCACTCCTTCTTGACATTGAAACTCCTGCCCAGATAATCCCCTTTCTGTTTACCCCGCCTAACGACACATCATTCCCCTGCACACACTCTGCAATCCAACTGCACTGGCCTTCTCTGTGCCCACCAGACCATAGTCCAGGTGTGTCCTGTCCAGAAGGCACCATGCTTGCCCTGGCTGTCTCCTGTGCCTTTTTTACAGTTGTAAAGGAAAGATTTCAGTTTTACCCTGAGGATGCAGAACTGTGAGAGCTGTTTTCCAGGTAGCTGGAGTTTTGCAGTTGCCTAAGAGAACAGGGTTAACTGAAGCCCAAAGTATTCAAAGGCCGTTGGCTGATTCCTAAGATTCCCAGTTATGTTTCATAGACATTGTGCTCTCCTCTGAGAATTCACAGACTGTCACGTTTGTCACCACATCACTGATCACAGGCAGTTCCAGGATGAAGATTTCTTGACTTAAAATGTGGGCTATCAGACTATGAAATTCTTGGGAATTTTAGGCAATTTTTTTTGACAAAAGTGTTTCTTATACATAACAATTATGTGATCAGATGATAAAATTTGATTTAGTCATTTTATTGAGAAGTTCTTTTGTTCTGTATTTAAATAGGATAGCTTTTTTCCCCCCTGTGGTTGCCTTTTAAATCTTTTTATTTACCAGGAATGTTTTTAATTTAATTGTAACTAAGTGGTGAATTTTAACATTTAATTTTAATTTCTTGGCAGATTACTAAAATGAAAAACACATATAGCTTCACATCAACAGATTTGATTAAAATGAATGAAAGATGCCAAGAGTCATTGAGAGAAATCTATCATATGACTTACATGTAAGAGAATGAAAAATATTTAGCTATTGAACTAAATTGGATTGTTTTGTTATGTTAATGTTAATGATTAGTAATGTTAATTTCAATTCATTAATTCTTATTTGGTTAGAAATGATAAAGAATTATGTTTTTTAGCAAATGGAAAAGAAAATATTCCCTGACTAGGTTCTACTAAAAGCTCTTAAGACTATAAACATATGAAATCAAACATATTCTCTATATACTTCAGCATTGCCATGTACAGAGTATTGATCTGGTCATTGGTGATACAGATGCAGAAATAAAATGCCCTTATGGAGGGGAGACACGTATTTAAATATTTAAAGGCGTATATTTAAATATATTCAAAATGTAGTTTGAGAGGTAGAGAGCTAAGGAGTTTAGCTAACACTGAATCCCTGTTCTCAAGGACCTATAGTGACCCACACCAATGCAGAGCACTGTATTATAATAACATTATTACACGATAAATGCATTAGGCAGTTACCGAGTGCTGAATGAGGTCTGACAAAAGAGGCTATGGCCATTTGGGGAGGATGGAGAACGCTTCCTGGAAGAGATGGGATTTCCATTTGAGCATAAAGGGTATGTAAGAAATCAGCATGCAGGATTTGGTAGGAAGTGCTCCTTCGATCTAGGGAGTAAGACAGGCCAGGAGGTGTGAGACGACATTGTGTTTGGGCAGAAGGTCTCTGGCTTGGCTGGGGCACTGAGATTCTAAAGGAAGGTCAGATGAGATAAGACTGGGAAGGCAAGGACAGGCAAAGAGGTCACAAGGAGCCACGGACCCCTTGGCCTGGGGATCTGCCCTCAGCCTTGTGCTGTTCACAGTGGCATTTATTAAGTACCTGATCTGTGCCAAGCAACATGCTCAGCCCTGAGCATACAAGGAAAGGCAAAAAACAGTTCCTGCCCTCAAGGAGCTCACAGTCTAGCGGAGGAGACAGCATGCAAATAACTACAAACAAGCAAGATATAGACAAGATCATCGAGGATACACGACAGAGGGAAGACAGACACCAGCATTGAGGAGCATGGGGAAAGACTTCTTGCAGAAGGTGGAATTTTAACTGGGACTTGAAGGAATCAAGGGAAGCTCGGAGGCAGAGATGAGGTGGGAGAGCATTGCAGGCATGGGGGGCAGCCGGAGAGAATGCCTTGTGCAAGGAAGAGCCAGGAGGCCAGTGTCGCTGCATTGCAGAGTGTGTGTTGAGGAATGAGGTATAAAAAGGGGGCTGGGGGCCGAGCAAGTTATGAAGAGCTTTGAATGCCAAAACAAGGAATTTTGTATTTGATCCTGGCAGTAAAAAGGAGACCTTGGAGTTAGTTGACTTGGGGAGGAGGAGGCAACATGGTCAGACCTGCGCTTTAGGAAGATCAGTTTGACAGCTGAATATAAGGGGGATTGGAGTTGGGAACCAAGGAGTCTTGTAATCATCCAGACATAAAGTGAGGCGGTGAGGGTCTGTACCAGAGTGGCGGCAGGCCATTGAATCTGTCATTTCAGCAGTTGTGATTGATGACAGGTCCACTTCACTATGGCATTTGGGGTAGAAGCAGGATTACTGTTGCTGGAAAAGAGTACAGGCACTGGGGACTTTGTCAAAAAGTGTAGCCCAGAAGCTCAGAGTTCCTAGAGTGAAGCAGAACAAATCTCACTCCTCTTTGACATAGCTGCCTGTAAGGAATAAGCCCACACTGCCCTACCCTACATGCTTTAGGAGAACCTCAACCAGGTTCCTTCTGCAGAAGCCTTTCCTTAGCCTGGTGGTTTGTCAGAACTGCAGCCTGAATGGGGCAGTCGTGGGGCTCTTTACCCTGCTTCTTAGACAGTATTACTTCTGACTGTACTAGAGGCCCCCTTTGTCACACATTGAGCTTGCCATCTTCTGAGGTTCCCACACTGGTCTCCAGAAGAAAGCAGCCTGGTGTGGTGGCGAGGGAGCTGTCCTCAGACTCCAGAAGACCTCCATTTCTACATAGCTGGGTGATCCTGACCCAAGGCCTTGCACAGAACTTCTGCGCCTCAGTTACCTCATCTGGAAGATGGAAGGGTTGGACTGGATGACCTTTAAAATCCCTTCCTCCTCTAAATCTACTAGGACCTGCTAAATCCTCCATCTGTAATGCTGGGAGACTAAGTGGGAGATCTGGGAGTTGAGAGAGAAAGATGCAGCAGAAGAAGATGAATTCATGAGGTAGGGGAGAAGGGCTTTGGAGGAGTAGCCACGTTGCAGCTTAATGTGTGCATCATGAGTTTGTAGGGAGCCAAAGTCGTGCGTTTTGGGGAGTTTCTTCTCCCCAGGCAGTGCCTCACAGCCCTAGAAGTCATAGGGAAGGAGAGCCAAGGATGGGGATTCATAGTTTGGGAGCAGCAGGTTGAAGTCGGGGAGGCAAGGAATTCTAGGAGAGTGGCTTGTGAAACATTCAGTCTGCATGCCACAGGTCTAGGCTGGGAAAGAGAATGGTGAAGCCAGCAGTGCAAACAAGCAATGGAACAGGACAAGGGGGCTATTTATGGAGTTGAACATGAAAGTGCAGGTGAAAGTTAGGCTTAACATGAGCGACAGAGTAGTAGAGTGGAGAACAGAAGTTGTGGTCAGCAGTGGAAATTCAGGTGATGCAATCCTAATGGTGATGAATAAGAAAAGCCATTTGATTGTAACAGACTTAGAGACTACAATCTAAATAAATAAATGGTTATAACTAACATAAAATAGAAGCATAACCTCAAGTAGATTTGCTAAAGGCTATTCCCCTACTCATATTTTATCAATTATTATGACCATTTCACAGTTCTGCATTTCAGAGTGAAACAGGTGAAAATCAAATGTCTAAAAATAAGAAACATCATCCATATGACATATAACAAAAAGGTTTCCAAAATCATGGAACCCTTCAAAACAATAACCCAGGAGGTCATGGATAGATTTCAGGGGATCCATTAGCTTGATTTTTAAAATATTTTGATTCAGTATCATTGATTTCTTTTGTAATCCTCTGTACTTTATTCATTTAAAAACATTATTCTTAGAAAGAGTCCATAGGTTTTACCAGACTGCCTGATGGGGAGAGGGCACAAGACACAGAGAAGGTTAAGAACCCTGGACCTGAAAGGCTCCCATTCCATCTATAAAATGTTTTGATTCTATATTGTGTATTTGGAGTTTTCAAATGACCAAGCTGAATCTTAAACATAAAATTTTTATAGTTTTCCATTAGGGTTACTCTTATGTGCAAGAATATAGTAATAAAGTTAAATAGAAGCAGCATGACATGATAGGCAGAGGATTGTGTTTCTAGTCCAAAAGAGTAGATTTCAAATCTTGCCTGTCTGACCCCAGGCAAGTTTGTTCACCTGGGTTTTAGGTAACCCCTTAGTCTTATCTACTAAATCCTATAAAAACAATAACAGCCCACATTTACATAGCACTTTAAGATTTACAGAGGGCTTTACATGTATTGTCTCATTAAAAGATTCAAAGATTGGTTGAGATTGGCTCCGGTGGAAGGAGTTTCCCCACTAGGAAAAGTAATAAATCCACAGATCTTTTATGTATTAGTGAATAATACTAGATATAAGAATATTTATGTCAAAAAATTAGAGGCTGTTTCTCATTTAACCAATGATCTTTCTTTTAAATTCTGAAACGAGTCAACACTCAATGATAGAAATTCTTCCATGTATGCAGCAGATTGGAAAAAGAGGCATGGATTGGCCATAAAATTGCAAGTGTCTAATACGAACTGCTTGCTTTTAGTTTTAAGGATGTAATAAATTAAACCCACAGTTTTCGCAGCTATCCTGCTTGTGATTCCTTCTGGTCTTCCTCAGATTCTGTGGATTTACAAAGGTTTCAGTGTGTCTCTGGTTTCATTCCCATTCCTTCCTTTTTGGCTGAGAGCCGCTTCCCGAGTCCCCCATGGCACCTAGTTCAAAACAATGTTTGCTTCCTTCTGACAGTAATTTGACGCTGTGTGGTAGTTATGTGTCGTTCTACAGGTTAGCCCTAACATGGAGAAACTCAATCAGAGACGTTTGTTTGCAGGGTGGTGTGCCAGCTGCTTGGTGAGATTTATGAGCACATTCACTGCTTGTATAAACTCTCAGACATTGTGTCCATGCTGGACATGTTGCTGGCGTTTGCTCATGCCTGCACTCTTTCTGATTATGGTAAGTTACTTTTTTACTAAAAGTTTCAAATTCTTTTTGTAGGCCTCTATTTTAAAAGAACAGGCTAGAATGTTTTACATTTTTACTTGTCAAATTCTCTTTGTCTTTGGGCTTCTAAACTTTGGTATAACATGTAAATCTGGGTTTCAACAACTAAATATGTTATGGTACTTCAGGAAACCCTGGATCTCCTCAATGTAGGCATGCTTTGTAATGACACAGACCACCACCTGTGTGTACCTGTCCATCCTCCGTGACTATTGTCCATTTCCTTTCACATATTTGCCCCCCAAAACTGCCCCAGGACCAGATGGATTCACAAGTGAAGCCTATAAAACTTTCAAAGAATGATTAATTCTAATATCACCTGAATTGTCTGCAAAAATAAAAAAGAAGGGATCCTACCAAATTCCTTCTGTTACACAGATACTGTCTTGATATAAAAACTTGGGAGGGTCAGAACAGAAACTGTAGACCAATATCTCTAATTGCCATGGATTCAAAACTTTTGAATAAAATATTAGCAGAGAGACTAAAACAACATAGCATAAAGATGATACGCTCTGACTAGGTGATATTTATACCAAGAATGCAGGCGAGATTCACTATGAGGAAACCTATAGACTTAATTAACCCTATTCATGATAAAATAAAAACCATATGATTGTATCAAAGATACAAAAAAATATTTTGACGAAACAAAACACCTATTCTGTTAAAAACATTAGAAAGCATAGGGGAAAAAACAGAC